TCAATGCATCTGTCATAACGCAGACGACAACGTTCACTGACTTCAAATTTTATGATTATTATCAATTGCAGTACGGCAACGAATATCACCCGTCGATGCAGTTATCATTTCACGACTTGACTATTATTATCCTACGAACGGGAACTACGCATTTGAATTCGAATTCACTCGTCGCCAGTCGATGCTATTTATTCTGCTGCGGCTCAACAGAACATATATTTAACGTATTTCACTATTCTGTCAGCATCACAGACCAATTTCTGTCATATTCTACTTTACTTATTTTCACGATTTATTTCGCTATCATACAAACAATTTATTATTATTTTCACGATATTTTGAATCGCTCATACAAACGTGTTATTTTATTGTTCAGACAGTCATAGCATTAGTACATGTTAATTTTTGTACGCTCATTAATTTGCTCATATTCGCATGCTAACGTTTCCATTTTTGTCCGCGTCTTTTCTATATTTTTTAGCTACTTATTGTTAACGTTAACTTCATATCACTTGAGTATTATTTTCGAAAACAGACATTTTTTAAATGTGTTATTTTCTACGAGGGGGCTATGTAGTGTCAGTTATTATGCCAAGCCCATATACCTTATTCGAGCTTTCGGACATCCCATTCTATTCATTCTACCCGAGCCATACTTTGACCTTGTTATTTATTCCCTTATCAATCTAGACTGTTTTTATATGAGCGTATATGTGTGTGCCCTTCTTATCCTATTAATCACATGTCTGTAGCTTTATTTTGTCTGACTATAAATATTGAGTAACGCTTGACTAAAATGGAGTTGGCTTCCCAGCCATCTTCCATACGTGTCATTTTGCTTTGCTATGTTTCATTCGCTTCATGTACGAAATATATGTATTCTCATGTCAATTCTCGTTATTCGACTTATTTAATTCCGTTATTGGATAACGCGATTTAAGTCGACGATGATATACGAGAAAAGGTGATAACAAACATTCGTACGCTCTAAATGGAGTCAGATTCACGGGCCACTAAAGAACCTAGGACCGAACAGTCTCTCGCGCGAGCGCTTAATAAATAGACCACTGAGCCGGCATCCAACAGTGTTAATGTCTAACATCAACTAAAATCTCCACAAAACCCTTTCTGATACTAATCAACTGCTCACTAGTGACTGACTTCAAGAGGCATTTCCTGAAGTTTTAGAGAGAAGCAGTGACCAATAGTGTTCAACCAGGTCTGTTGTGAGATAGTAACTCACTGATGACAATAGTGGATTTGTGGCTCAATTTTATGGATTGGTTGAAGTTAAACATTAACACTGTTGGATACCGACTCATTGGTCTAGTAGTTAAATGCTCGCGCGAGAGACTGATAGACCTTAGGTTCGAATCCCGCGAGGCGGGGTCGTTGATGCGCGCTACTGAGGTGTCCCACACTAGAACGAAACGGCCGTCTAGTGCTTCCAGATTTTCCATGGTGGTCTAGATTCCATTGACTCATGATCTGAGATATTGAAAATTGAACTGGTTATTATGAGTAGTAGTGTATTACTTTTATTGTGACAAAGCTTTATAGTTTATGTAGATGCGCAAGGATTTATATGCATTTGCTTGACATTCACCCATACACTCATATCAGCCACTAGTGCTTTTGTTTGTTATTTCGTTTCGTGACATGTTATTACACCAGAGCCAAACTTAATGGCTAAGTATTCATTTCAATTAATCAACGGAGCTAATATGGATAAACGTTAGCAACAAGGACCGAGAAAATCGACATCAAACAAGCTACCAACAAACTACAATCTGAATCTAAAATATTTCTTCGAGCTTTGTCTATTGATACATATTTTAGAAAGAGAATTTGTAATAGTGCAATAACTGTTACTCATATTAAATTTTGAAGCAATAATGAGCTGCTGTTATAGCGTCGTCGGTATGTGATAAAATTGGATTTCTCTATTACGTTTAGTACACTAGACGGATTTAATGGACTGATCTTCTGTTTTTACTCAAGTCTTCTTGAGAATTTGTTGAGGCAACAAATTAATAATATGGACAATGTATTCATAAACATATTGCCGATACTATGATATTTCACACAGATGCTTAGTAATTGCTGATTAAACGTATGACTATATACGTCTCCTGTCAATAATTATTCAACGGTTGTCATTATTTTATGTTGTTGAATAAGTATTCCATTAAACAATCGTAATATTTAACTCCAACCAAATAGGCAGAAAGCGCGTCCTGGATTCCGCTGCTAGCCACTATCCATCTCGGTTTATAATTTTAATCTTCATTTAATAGTAATCAGTACATTAATATATATATCCATAACCCTTCCGTTAGATTCATCAAAGTAATTGAAGACCGGTGTTGTTATGACCTTGATGCCTGGCTTTCTATCACGCGACTTACCGACCAGTCAGAATACAATTTCGCATTATGCCAAACCAATGACGTTCAACCGGTATGAGCAGTTTAGCGTCCTGTAATATGAATCGCATCGAATCAGACCGTTTATTTCAGACATACTCGGTTTATATATCAATCAGACAGACCACAACGTACCATAAAATAGAAAATGACATGTGTACATAAATAAGCCAAAAAGTGACTGTGAACGAGGGGGACAGTAATTAATAGACTGAGCATAGCTTAAGAATCGTAAATCGTACAATAATAAAATATAGGTCAAAATAAAGCTTATAATAAGAGGAATATAAATATACATAATCTAATTATTCAGTAGTTTTACAATAAGAATATTTATAGAATATTAATCCATTAATAGTCCTCGGAAGTTACCTGTAATTTAATCTTCACCGGGATATAACAGGTGTGGTATCACTAAAGTCGGTAATATTTTTAATCAGTGACACCCTTAGTGGTCTGAATGCTTGAATTCACGTTTCTTACAACTAATATGTAACCTCATATTCCTTCTTGTCACTTTTATATCTTTTATACCGATGGTAGAAATTGACGAGCTAAATTCTTCCGATCAAACGTAGAAAAGAAATAACATTTCGTATCACTCTTTATGTCACACAGAGTCTACTTTGAGCGTCCCAGATTGTTGCTGAATAATATCCGTCAACAGAACATAAACAAAAGACTCGTCGTCTGTATTAATAGGTCTGGATTATTTTGAAAAACAAACTTTCGTATTACTAAGTTGTCAATAGCTATGGATACTTGTTAATTCGGCTCTCGTGTTCCAGATAAAAACAGTTAGATTTTCAGTTACGATGTTAAAGTGTAAAATGGTAGAAGGCTTTATTCCTATTAATATTTCATTTGGAAATTTAACTCCAAGAAATATCACCCTGATAATATTATCAATTGCACTATTCAGAAAATACATGAGACGATATGATGGCTCTAACAAGAGTTGTGGTCTGACACTAAAATAGGAAGATTACTTTCGCTGTATCAAAAGTGGGGACTCCATTCGGTGTCTAGAACGACGATTTTTGACAAGTGGGAGAGTGGTTCAGACTAAAATCATTTGGTAGGGGGCAAATAATTCAAAAAGCTTCGTATCCTGGTGTAATTATTCCCTTAGGTACAATGAGAAAACTATCAGTAGGAAGTTATTATACGACCTATGTGTGATTCACATGATATCACGCTAATAATAGTAAGCAATTCTAAAAATGAATGCCAATTTACGGGCACGATCAAGTCGATGCAAACCGATGAGTAATAGTGAAATAAGTCTACAATTTCTGGAAAGATATGGTTTCTAGATTGCTTCAAATCAAACATTTAGGATAAAGTTGTCAGTGGTGTGAAATACGGAATGTATCTAGAATTCGTAAGCCTGAGTAAAATGACTTTACAAAGCAATATTATTGGTTGTATATACTCAATAATAATAATAATAATAATAATAATAATAATAATAATAATAATAATAATAATAATAATTTCAACAAGCAAAGTTGTCACTAGTATGAAAATTTCAATCTTACACTAACATAAATAGAAGTCCCACTGGTTTTTTGGGTGGACCGTGTTATGAGTTGAACTCACAATCAGATATGTATAGACTACATTTTCACTAGTATTTCATTCAAATGAGATCTACTGTTTTTCTTCCTTGAGATTTTGTTGAGTTCAGATAGAAGATGAGACTGAATTAGAAAGGCATAGTCAGACGGTACGAGATGTCTTCAATCAAACATTATCTCATACGGTCATGTCGGATTAATCTACACACACACCTTACAGGATTAGTATCCCGTCTAGTAAGAAGATAGCTAGGGGATCTGGACTTTTAGATCCATGTAGAAGGAGAATCATAAAGTCTTATAGCGATCTTATGAACTTCTGGGATGGAGTTCCAATAAATTTTGTCTTCTTATTACAATTTCTAAATTTACCATTTGCCTTGAGGAATATGAGTGTGCATTATTATTAGCCCAGTTTGTATTTATTCTTGTTTCTAACCTGTTACTTAACTTGCTAATCGTTAAACAGTTGATCAAATGCGAATTAAACGGAAACATCAAATAAATATAATGTAAATCATTATAATATAGAGCTAAGAAATTGATTTTCACTTTATCATTTTATTCTTCATGGCTGGATGATATTGCGTTTCGTCGGCTACTTGAATCCCTAATGATCTTGAATATATTGTTAAACAAAGAAACCAGGATAAGTACATAAAACGACTAATCGACTAGGTTCCTATTCCGGTCAATCTGTAATTGTGTCGAATGAGTCAGGGTCTGTCTTTGTCGTTAAGTCATCCGGTTATTTATTGCAATCACGTGAATAAACCAAATCATAACAAAGAATTGTACAATCGCCAAACACTATTTTAGGTTGGCATAGTTTCAAAACCATAACTGAGATTTGGAGACGAATTGAGATTCTTAGGTTTCTCTATCCATGCATTTACAAAGTGACTCTAATCACTGTATTTCATTTGGTGGCTCACTTCCATTTGGTTTTGCTTACACGACGATTTGAATAAACCATTAAAATTTAAGAGGTGTTAGCTTAGTATGCTGTAATATTTTTACGCAAATTAATTATCATATTTGACAGAATATACGGGTGAAAGACATGAAAGATAATGAAATCGCCTGAACAAAAATATCATTTAGAGTCTTACTGTTGACCACCTCACCATATTTCATTCATGAAAAATGTATACTAACAAAACCGAAACCCCACTGTTGTTCACGAAAAGATCATTCATCAAAGTATTTTTATCTCAAAAATGCTGTATGGTTATGCATGAATCTTTTTCCAAGCTAATCGAGCAAAATTTAAGAGAAATCGAGAGAGAAAGTACGAGTTTAGACGGAAATGTGAATAAAAATAATACATCTACTTTAATATTCATATCTTACATAGAAGTGGATATAAATAGCAGTTGTAATCTGTGTGTATTATTTTCTTCATTAACTTCCTTTCTCCCTCTACCCCCTTTCCCCATCTTTCTCATCTCACTCCTCAAAAAAAGATAAAAATCAGGGAAATAAAAATGAAATCTAAAAAAGCAAGCAAAATACCATTTTACGTAAATAGTTGGGGAAAGAAAAATAGACAAGTGAATTGAAATCCAAAAATGAAAAACATACAAAAGCGGACAGTTGAAATTGCAAATAAAAATGAATTCGAAACAAAATTCACTTCATATGAAAAGGAAAACGAAGAGGCTTTATCTTTTTCGTATTCGATGCGAGAATGGAAGGTGTAAAAGATACATTCCTCAGAGGAACTTCGGAACAGATGACACGATGAGTAAGCATATTTTTGATGGCATAAATGGCTTTTCATAGGGTTCTCTGACTAAAATTACTTCGAACTCGAACAAAAATACTAATATGAAGTGAGTAAAAGGTCAAATTAGATGAGGAAATAATGAGAAAGCAAGAAAACCTGAAACATAGTAAATAGAGTAACACAATCTTTATGAGCGTTTGCAGTAACGGGTAGTGAAATAGATGAATGCAAATGCCATAACTCAAATAAAGCATGCACATTTTGTCATGTTTAGTTGTGTGTTAAATTACGTTGGAGTAGATGGTTCAGTAAAGATGTTGGGTGCAGTTTAAGTTTTCTCGTACCCTAATGATTTTTCGTTAATTCTGCTTACTTTCCAATTAAGCTTATCCAGAGTTTAAGAGTAAGACATTCTCAAAAGTTCAACAAATAATGAGGCATTTTAATGGTGAGATTATTTTCGTTAGATTAAATTTTGAGTTCAAATAAATCTCTCATGAACTGACATTTTAGCAATAAACAACATTATGTAATGCAAACGGGGGTAAATCAAATTTCAGTTGGTTAATATAGAAATATTTTTATCAAAAACGTTTTGTGATCTCTAGTTTTGACGAATTCAGTGAGATTTGACCAGCTTGTTTGGTGATTAAGAGATTGTGCGTTAGACAGTACGAACGAGTTCTTTTTTTCCGTTGAATTCGATAAAAGTCATTTTAAAAAAATACACACAGACATGTATTACTGTCTAAGAATTTTAAATAGTAGCATAATAACGCTTCTGTTTTTCTTGAACCTTTTTCAAGTTTTTGTAGAAGTTGGAGACATTGAATATCTTGTAATTTTCTGCGAATTTTGTTACTGTAATCATTCATTAAAATGCTGGAAATAACCAATAAAAACAGAAAGTAGAACTAAAAAAAGAAATTTGATTACTTAACAAAACAATGCTTAGTTATAGATTCGAGGGTATATGTAAACGCCCTAAATCTCAAATAAATTTATCTCTTCCATTATGTGTGATTCAGCAGTAAGAGATGAAATTCCATGGTAAAAAGGGATTGTTTGGTTGTAAACGAAGACTAACCAACTTCAAAATATTTTTTTCTTATCAGATCACACAAGTTTTTTAAATTTATTTATTGGTTCTTAAATTAAAATTAAACTAGTTCGAAAATGTGAGAATGTTCGTCTCTGATGTGTGGTAATGAGAGTAAAATATGATTTGTCGTTGAGCGTGGACAAACAGCCACAGGTTGCGGACTGTTAAATGTGTGATTTTCTTTTTTATCATTGCTTTCTACTTCTGACTCACGGTGTGTAATTGTATTGAATAAAGTATTCTTTAGTGTTAAGCTGGTTCTCCATTTTGGGCCGCAAATCTTGGTTCCGATATAACGTGATTAAAAAGTAATATTAACATTCTCTTTTATAACAAATGGCTTTACTTTTAATACTTACGCGAGAACATCCTGAAAACCTAATAAGTTATTTTTATGTTTGCCTAGTCAAACTCTTAAAATGAATATGTAAAATATGGGGATAAGAAGCTTTTCTGTGTTTTTAACCGAGTGATAAAAAAGAGGGCTCATCTTCAAAAGCAATTCTTATTTCAGTAGAATATCCACTCATTCGTTAGAGAGAATGTTTAGTTTCCCAGTAAAGCTACGTTTCTGCGTAAAACTAATTGACATTCTTACCAATATTCCTCAGGAATGTCTTGCCAAGTTAACAATCATCATTGATAGATTTTACGTTATTCAGTCAAGATGTGAAATAAAGTAATAGAAATCCAATCATAAACAAAGTTAAGTAAATCAACACAAAAGTTTTTATTCATTAGCCCAGAGTTTTTCTTATCACACACTGTAGTGAGACAGTAGAAACAGATTTATTCATCACGGTTCGTCATGGAAGTTTAAGCGTTTGGATGAAAAAACTATCATTTGCCACGTAGTCTCCAAGCGATTGCACAATCGGATACATTGAGACAGTAGAAAAAAGCAGATTTATAGCTGATTATGTTATCACGTAAATTTTGTGAGTAATACAGACCTTCTGAGTTCTATGACCAATTAATAAATTCAAGAATCGACTTAGATTTAACAGTTTTCTAAATTGTTAGGGTGTTGAATAAATGGTGTGATTTTGGTTCGACTGTAAATATTAGTTCATTTTCATGCTGTTTTTCAAAATACAGATGCTTTCGTGAGTATTTTAGAGATCATCATTGTCAAGAAAAACATTATAAGGACTGAACATTATGGACAAGGAGACTGTTTGGTATAAGACCTTATATCCTTGAATTTATAGTAAACTGATTAAAGCTTACAGAGGACCATTATATTTTGAAGAATGAGCTAATGTAGGCCTATACAATGTTTCGGCATATCAAGGAAATCCATACACAGTATCAATAAAAAGCTAACCACCTCCTGTGTGGCTACATCAAGGTTAAATGTGATGAAAACTCCATTCACTCATTAGCTGAAGCTCAAAAATAACTAATGCTCTTACATTCTGTTAAATTTACATCTTTTTTACATCTTGTATGGAAAATTTATACAGACAAATCAGTTGTTAGTAGAATGACAATATCCTTAATAGTACGATGGCTAAGTTTATATTCAACTATAAGAAACACTTAGACATCTGGTCCAATATTCTGATCTAAAAATAGTTTTGATTACCGAAATCTGAGTCATCTTAATATTTTTTTAACAGGAGTCTTCGAAGTGCAGAAGTTTCATGAATATAAACAACTGCTTGCTTTTAGAGTTTATAGTTAGGTGAACTGTGACACAAACCGATTGCAGGCACAAAATGCTGATCAACGGATTCTTACTTAGTTGTTAAGCCTTTTTTGATCCATCTGAAGTTCTCAGTCTTGCATCCCGGATGACATTTAGTGCTTAGAATATCAAGAACCTTAAAACTGAAGAGAAACAAATTTAAATTCTGATAATATAAACTGTGTTCCAAATAATCAGTCAACAAATCTTCAAACTAATTATGAATGCGATATTGATCTAATTCATCATTAGATATACAGTTGTGAAATACTTTCCCTTCTGAGATAAAGACTTCAGTTATACTATAAATTTTGTGATAATGTTACGAATAAAATTAGTTTAACTACTATTGTTTCCACTGAGTAGTCTGCTGAGGAATGGTATGGGAAAAGATGGGTATCAACGGTTAGTAAATCTATTAATTAATTAAAACATGCGTATTAAATCTAAACGTACTTCAAACTGGATTTGTATTGCATGCATATTTAGAACTTATCTACATTACAAAAAATATAGTTTATTCATTGTTTGGTTAGTAGACCTGATGAGAAATTAATGAGACAGAAATTATAAACATGCCTTACAAATGCAGCTAACGCATAAGGAAAATATATTGATAAAAAACGAAAGAAACTATGAATACCTTTGATTTTCATATAGGTTGAAAAATTGCTTCTAAACAGTCGGTACCAATCATATCCAGATTTATGAGTCCAGTGTAGTCGACCAACATTGAAGTTCAGTTTAGCAAATTCCACTGTATCATAAAAGGCTGTTTTATGTGTATAAATATGTCTGGGGTATGTACTACTGTGTCTATGTGTTTGTGTATATACAAATCAGCAATATTTTATGCTTCTTTCTACTTTTACTTTACTTTTAATAGACAAAAAATTTAAAATATGTATCTTAGGCGTCGATAAACAGATAAGTGTTAGGAATTTTAAATGTGCTTATGTTTGAATATAAATTGATTTAAAGGAAGGAAATGCAAAAAATAACAATAATCACAGTAACCATAACAGTAATAGTAGGTAGGAAAATAAATGCTTTGTAAATCTGACATAAAAAGACAGAATTAATAAATTAGGTACGCTTTATGTTGACATGATATGAAGAAGACCAAACAATCCCATTCAGATCATCATTACCAAGGTTAAGGTTGTTATTTTCTTTCCTTTTCACTCTTGTTCATTACCCTTCTTCATTTTTTCTGACATGAAAGCTATTGGTGACTTTTCTCTCTCAGTGATACTGACCATTTCATAATCTGAGTCGGAGGAAGTTTCAACTATGAACGACTCTTTGAACTCTTTACATTTGATTTGTTTACATGCCTCACTAACTTCTCCTGACGGTACATTATCCATTTTTAGGGCTTCTTTCGTTTTCGAATCTACAGCTACAGCTGAAACGTCATCAGTCGTTACACTGTTCAGTTGTTGAAGATCATTTGACGGTTCTTCCACAAAAATCTCATCTTCTGAAGTATCGAATACAGTCGACTGAGGGTTCAAATCTATTTTTAAAATAAGATCATACCTTTCACCATCTTGGTAGGTACTTTGTAAGGAACTATCACATATTGGAAGAGCTATTGCCCCAGATGTGGTAGGAACAGCAACTTTTTCCACAGTTGAAGAAACATCACTTTTAAGTGTTTTTATAACTTTAGAATATTTAAGTGCTTTAGATTCAGTAGCTAATAGGGGGATTGGTGCTGTAGAGAATGAACAAGAAGGTATTCCTGTTGTTACAAACTCAGTGGTTGCTGAACATTCAGTTGAAGATATTTTAGTACCTAGTTGTTCTATAACTGAACCGCTGTCGTCTAATGAGTCTGTCATACAATTTCCAAGTACTGGCTTATCAAGGTATTCATACTGTGCAACTCCTGACACAGATGTACCTGAGTCTTGCTTTTCATCAGAATGCGTTGACTGAAGCTGTTTTCCATAAGTAATAGAGCTTTCCCTCTCATTAAAACAAGATTTATTTGGAAATACCGTACAAGACTGTTTCTCTACGATAGTTCCGATGTATTGTTGATGTAAGATATCTATATGGGCAGAATTAAATTCTATTATACCTTGATCATTTTCTTCCGGCGGACTTAATTTGTTTTCCCCTTTCCTGTTTGAAATATCTGACGATGAAGGGGAGCAGAGAGAGTCAGTAACTTTACTGGGTTGTTCATGTTCGCTTTCATCTAATGAATCTATTCTGCGGGATATGCGGTTTCTCCAGTTATCATTTACTCCAAAATTCATGTTCGGTGTCCCATCGTATATACTGTTTTCATAGCCAGAAGGTACTAAAGAGTCATAGATCGAAGAACAAATTAGTGAATCAGTTTCTTCTACTCCTGTCAGTGGATCATCGACCCTGTCTAGCAAAGGTTCTATTTCGGAACTAGAAGTTAAACTTCCTTTAGATTTTTCGGCCTGTAAAGGATCACTGAGCATTTTCGAACATATTATTAAAAGTTCAGAATCAGAACAACCGGTCTGTGATTTATTTTCATCTTTTTGACTTGAGTATGTAAATGATATTTGATCATCATCTTTAGCTGAATGAAGTGAAGTGGTTGGAGATTCTATACTCTGTGAGAGTGAACTTATATGATGTTCCGCCACATCTTCGTAAATCGTTGAAATTTGTCCATAAAGTGGTGTTAGGTTATTCGAAGTTAACATATCTGTGACCACTGTTTTTGGTTTACCATTTATATCTATTAAATCGTTGAATTTTAGTTTAAGTTTTGAGTCAAATGGTAATGCCAAAATTTCATCGAAACTTTCACATTCTTTTTCATGACGTAGATACTCAGAAAGTGATGACGTATGTGAACTGACATCTTCACCACTTCCTTTATGACCACTACTAGGGGAAGTAGAATTGCTAGTACCCAATTCTTTTTCTAGTCGTTCGAATTCGGACAGTGAGCTACTGGTAACGTTCTCATCACTTGTTTCTATTCTTTTTTCCACATTAATACTGGATGGCGAGGATTTAGTCCGATCATTAGAAAATTTTAACTGTTTATCACAAGAACCCTCTGAAATTTGTGGAAAACTGACATATCCTCCGATTGGTTCATGAAAGTAGCGTTGTGTTGTCTTGATATGTCCTTCAGTAGTACAGATGGGTTGCGACACTGGAACGTTACTGACATCTGTAGATGTTCGTAATGCAGTACTTCCTACCACAGGCTCTGTTCCTAATAGGTTAGATATAAAATTTGATTGCTTTCTTTTAGCGACGCTAGATAGGTGAACCGAATTCTGACCAAGTGGCAATATAGCATTATTATCTTTCAGCTTTATTTCCTCACCAAGAATATCAAGATCGCTTTCAATAGATGCTAGGGTGGTTTTTGACTCCAGTAGCTGAATACTATCGGGTGCATCTACACCAAAATCATGTTCCTGAGATGATAAACTCTGAGACAATAGCTTTTCGTCGATTAGATTTCCTCTTATAAGTTGAGGGACAACTGGTGACTGGTTCATTATTCCAACATTCACAATTGTCGAGTGACTGCTTAAACTAGATTCATCTGCAGTGGAACTTGTTTGTAATTCATGGTCTGGGCTGAATGAAATCCTTTTAGTGGAACTGGATTGAGAGGAGATTACAAGTTCTGAATCTAAATGTTGACGTCTAGATACTTCTTTTTCAAAAAAAGAGTCTTGCTGACAATCTGTATCAGATTTTAACTTATTGTCATAGTTGAAGACTTGATTTGTAGCAACAGTTTCAGGGAACGGGAACACACTAGTGCTTCCACATTCAGTTTCATCTGTAATTATTTCACGTGGTGTGTTATATGTATTACAAATTTCAAATGGGATATTTAATTCTTCAAGACTATCACCATCAAAGTCCTCATGTTCTTCGCGATCGAGCTCTGTGAACTTATTCATATGTACGTTTGATGTAGGTATATTTTGATGGGCTAATGAATTAGTCTTCTCATCATTTTCGAGGAATTCTATGCATGGAGTTGTTAATTTTGTTTCCGATGCATGCCAATTAAGATTAACAAGCGAATTTGTACCCATCAAATTCTCTCGAAATCCATAGGTTTGAAGACGAGTAAGCATTTTAGCGGACCTATCAAGAGCTGAATGAACTAATTGACTGGAATCACCATGTTCAAGTGTTTTCATCCTACCAGGACACGCCATGGAGAACTCATCTTCCTCCTCTTCCTCTTCAGTAAATTCCATAGCTACACTTGCTCCTGATGCTGCTGCAAGATAAGTCAAGTCAGATTTTCCTGAGGGCGGAGATTTATCTAAAACATCTGACTTTGTAGGTGTTTCAGTTACTAATGACACACCTGATTGAAGCTGATAACATAGTGCATCTTGATCTTTAGGTGAATACAAGATTTCGGTATCATGGTTTGGTTCTTTCATAATCATTTCAGCAAAACTATCAGTTATTAAGCTGTTTGAATAATCTGAAATGCCATATTCAGGATCACATCGAAAAGCGGAATGATATGAGCCAGAAGTTTGCAAAACAATTTGACCATTGGTTATTGAAGAATCTTTACCAATAACGCCCTCCTCAGATACTTCCCGAATATCATGTGAATCCACTACATTTGCAGTGTCCTGAACAATAGATGGTAATCTATTGCTTGATCCAAGTTCATTTAATGATTTGTATTCATATCCCGATACAGCAAGAACGGAAGCTTCAGGTATAAAGAAAGGCACTGATTCTGCAGAAATATCATGTACTGAAGATATGCCAGCCTGTCGACAATCAGACAACTCTCCAAGACTTTCTCTAGAGTACGTAGTGAAACAAACGTCAGGAGCATCAACAGAAATGACGCTGTCTTCTATAACAAAGCTAGGAATTTCAGTGAAAGACTCCGATGAACAGGAAACAAATTGACTGAGACCGAGATGTAAGCCTTCTGCAACAAACGCTGAATCATCTGAATCAAATAAAGACACAGAATCTAAAGGCATACGAGTAAAGTCAGAAACACCAGCATGAACAAAACGGGAGGAAGAAGAGGAAAAAGAAAGATCGTTAGACACATTTGAGAGAACGAAAGAAACAACAGGTGTAGAAGAAACATCATGACAAATTGTAAGAGAATGAGAAGAAGAAGGCGGTTCAGAGCACGAACTAACAACAGAAGGAAAAATAGCAGGTTGACGATCAGACAATGTCGGAACAGAATAAAGATCTGCTAAATTACAGGTATATTGAGGATAAAGACTGCAAGATGTATTAGAAAAAGAAGAAACAGGGAAAGAAACAGTATCTAAAAATCTACAAGCAGATGTAGGATAAGACGATGAAATGTCAATAGAGTGAAAATTATTAAAATGATCCTGCTTCAACTCACCAACGCGCGAAATCAAAAGATCTCGATCCGGTTGTGCTGCAGTCTCTGCAAGCGCCTCAGACTCCAATTCGACTGGAGCGAACACAGACACACGTTCCGATTCAACCTGTTCTACCGCTTCACTTTCTGCGTCCGCTTCAACTTGCCCCAATCTCTCACCGAACACTTCGACTGCCGACTCGGCTTCCGTCTCCCCTTCAAATACGCCTTCACCAACTTCACCATATTCCGCCTCCATCTCACCGACACGCTCAACCAATCGTTCCCGTTCCGGTTGTGCTGCAGTCTCTGCAAGCGCCTCAGACTCCAATTCGACTGGAGCGAACACAGACACACGTTCCGATTCAACCTGTTCTACCGCTTCACTTTCTGCGTCCGCTTCAACTTGCCCCAATCTCTCACCGAACACTTCGACTGCCGACTCGGCTTCCGTCTCCCCTTCAAATACGCCTTCACCAACTTCACCATATTCCGCCTCCATCTCACCGACACGCTCAACCAATCGTTCCCGTTCCGGTTGTGCTGCAGTCTCTGCAAGCGCCTCAGACTCCAATTCGACTGGAGCGAACACAGACACACGTTCCGATTCAACCTGTTCTACCGCTTCACTTTCTGCGTCCGCTTCAACTTGCCCCAATCTCTCACCGAACACTTCGACTGCCGACTCGGCTTCCGTCTCCCCTTCAAATACGCCTTCACCAACTTCACCATATTCCGCCTCCATCTCACCGACACGCTCAACCAATCGTTCCCGTTCCGGTTGTGCTGCAGTCTCTGCAAGCGCCTCAGACTCCAATTCGACTGGAGCGAACACAGACACACGTTCCGATTCAACCTGTTCTACCGCTTCACTTTCTGCGTCCGCTTCAACTTGCCCCAATCTCTCACCGAACACTTCGACTGCCGACTCGGCTTCCGTCTCCCCTTCAAATACGCCTTCACCAACTTCACCATATTCCGCCTCCATCTCACCGACACGCTCAACCAATCGTTCCCGTTCCGGTTGTGCTGCAGTCTCTGCAAGCGCCTCAGACTCCAATTCGACTGGAGCGAACACAGACACACGTTCCGATTCAACCTGTTCTACCGCTTCACTTTCTGCGTCCGCTTCAACTTGCCCCAATCTCTCACCGAACACTTCGACTGCCGACTCGGCTTCCGTCTCCCCTTCAAATACGCCTTCACCAACTTCACCATATTCCGCCTCCATCTCACCGACACGCTCAACCAATCGTTCCCGTTCCGGTTGTGCTGCAGTCTCTGCAAGCGCCTCAGACTCCAATTCGACTGGAGCGAACACAGACACACGTTCCGATTCAACCTGTTCTACCGCTTCACTTTCTGCGTCCGCTTCAACTTGCCCCAATCTCTCACCGAACACTTCGACTGCCGACTCGGCTTCCGTCTCCCCTTCAAATACGCCTTCACCAACTTCACCATATTCCGCCTCCATCTCACCGACACGCTCAACCAATCGTTCCCGTTCCGGTTGTGCTGCAGTCTCTGCAAGCGCCTCAGACTCCAATTCGACTGGAGCGAACACAGACACACGTTCCGATTCAACCTGTTCTACCGCTTCACTTTCTGCGTCCGCTTCAACTTGCCCCAATCTCTCACCGAACACTTCGACTGCCGACTCGGCTTCCGTCTCCCCTTCAAATACGCCTTCACCAACTTCACCATATTCCGCCTCCATCTCACCGACACGCTCAACCAATCGTTCCCGTTCCGGTTGTGCTGCAGTCTCTGCAAGCGCCTCAGACTCCAATTCGACTGGAGCGAACACAGACACACGTTCCGATTCAACCTGTTCTACCGCTTCACTTTCTGCGTCCGCTTCAACTTGCCCCAATCTCTCACCGAACACTTCGACTGCCGACTCGGCTTCCGTCTCCCCTTCAAATACGCCTTCACCAACTTCACCATATTCCGCCTCCATCTCACCGACACGCTCAACCAATCGTTCCCGTTCCGGTTGTGCTGCAGTCTCTGCAAGCGCCTCAGACTCCAATTCGACTGGAGCGAACACAGACACACGTTCCGATTCAACCTTGTTCTACCGCTTCACTTTCTGCGTCCGCTTCAACTTGCCCCAATCTCTCACCGAACACTTCGACTGCCGACTCGGCTTCCGTCTCCCCTTCAAATACGCCTTCACCAACTTCACCATATTCCGCCTCCATCTCACCGACACGCTCAACCAATCGTTCCCGTTCCGGTTGTGCTGCAGTCTCTGCAAGCGCCTCAGACTCCAATTCGACTGGAGCGAACACAGACACACGTTCCGATTCAACCTGTTCTACCGCTTCACTTTCTGCGTCCGCTTCAACTTGCCCCAATCTCTCACCGAACACTTCGACTGCCGACTCGGCTTCCGTCTCCCCTTCAAATACGCCTTCACCAACTTCACCATATTCCGCCTCCATCTCACCGACACGCTCAACCAATCGTTCCCGTTCCGGTTGTGCTGCAGTCTCTGCAAGCGCCTCAGACTCCAATTCGACTGGAGCGAACACAGACACACGTTCCGATTCAACCTGTTCTACCGCTTCACTTTCTGCGTCCGCTTCAACTTGCCCCAATCTCTCACCGAACACTTCGACTGCCGACTCGGCTTCCGTCTCCCCTTCAAATACGCCTTCACCAACTTCACCATATTCCGCCTCCATCTCACCGACACGCTCAACCAATCGTTCCCGTTCCGGTTGTGCTGCAGTCTCTGCAAGCGCCTCAGACTCCAATTCGACTGGAGCGAACACAGACACACGTTCCGATTCAACCTGTTCTACCGCTTCACTTTCTGCGTCCGCTTCAACTTGCCCCAATCTCTCACCGAACACTTCGACTGCCGACTCGGCTTCCGTCTCCCCTTCAAATACGCCTTCACCAACTTCACCATATTCCGCCTCCATCTCACCGACACGCTCAACCAATCGTTCCCGTTCCGGTTGTGCTGCAGTCTCTGCAAGCGCCTCAGACTCCAATTCGACTGGAGCGAACACAGACACACGTTCCGATTCAACCTGTTCTACCGCTTCACTTTCTGCGTCCGCTTCAACTTGCCCCAATCTCTCACCGAACACTTCGACTGCCGACTCGGCTTCCGTCTCCCCTTCAAATACGCCTTCACCAACTTCACCATATTCCGCCTCCATCTCACCGACACGCTCAACCAATCGTTCCCGTTCCGGTTGTGCTGCAGTCTCTGCAAGCGCCTCAGACTCCAATTCGACTGGAGCGAACACAGACACACGTTCCGATTCAACCTGTTCTACCGCTTCACTTTCTGCGTCCGCTTCAACTTGCCCCAATCTCTCACCGAACACTTCGACTGCCGACTCGGCTTCCGTCTCCCCTTCAAATACGCCTTCACCAACTTCACCATATTCCGCCTCCATCTCACCGACACGCTCAACCAATCGTTCCCGTTCCGGTTGTGCTGCAGTCTCTGCAAGCGCCTCAGACTCCAATTCGACTGGAGCGAACACAGACACACGTTCCGATTCAACCTGTTCTACCGCTTCACTTTCTGCGTCCGCTTCAACTTGCCCCAATCTCTCACCGAACACTTCGACTGCCGACTCGGCTTCCGTCTCCCCTTCAAATACGCCTTCACCAACTTCACCATATTCCGCCTCCATCTCACCGACACGCTCAACCAATCGTTCCCGTTCCGGTTGTGCTGCAGTCTCTGCAAGCGCCTCAGACTCCAATTCGACTGGAGCGAACACAGACACACGTTCCGATTCAACCTGTTCTACCGCTTCACTTTCTGCGTCCGCTTCAACTTGCCCCAATCTCTCACCGAACACTTCGACTGCCGACTCGGCTTCCGTCTCCCCTTCAAATACGCCTTCACCAACTTCACCATATTCCGCCTCCATCTCACCGACACGCTCAACCAATCGTTCCCGTTCGGTTGTCTGCAGTCTCTGCAAGCGCCTCAGACTCCAATATCGACTGGAGGCGAACAACAGACACACGTTCCGATTCAACCTGTTCTACCGCTTCACTTTCTGCGTCCGCTTCAACTTGCCCAATCTCTCACCGAACACTTCGACTGCACGACTCGGCCTTCCGTCTGCCCCTTCAAATACGCCTTACACAACTTCACCATATTCCGCCTCCATCTCACCGACACGCTCAACCATCGTTCCCGTTCCGGTTGTGCTGCAGTCTCTGCAAGCGCTCAGACTCCAATTCGACTGGAGCGAACACATGACACACGTTCCGTCAACCTGTTCTATCGCTTCACTTTCTGCGTCCGCTTCACTTGCCCCAATCTCTCACCGAACACTTCGACTGCGACTCTGCTTCCGTCTCCCCTTCAGAATACGGCTTCACCATACTTCACCATATCCGCCTCCATCTCACCGACACGCTCAACCAATCGTTCCCGTTCCGGTTGTGCTGCAGTCCCTGCAACCGCCCCCCACTCCTCCATTCGACTGGAGCGAACACAGACACACGTTCCGATTCAACCTGTTCTACCGCTTCACTTTTGCGTCCACTTCAACTTGCCCCAATCTCTCACCGAACCACTTCGACTGCCGACTCGGCTTCCGTCTCCCTTCAATACGCCTTCACCAACTTCACCATATTCCGCCTCCATCTCACCGACACGCTCAACCAATCGTCCGTTCTGGTTGTGCTGCAGTCTCTGCAAGCGCCTCAGACTCCAATTCGACTGGAGCGAACACAGACACACGTTCCGATTCAACCTGTTCTACCGCTTCACTTTCTGCGTCCGCTTCAACTTGCCCCAATCTCTCACCGAACACTTCGACTGCCGACTCGGCTTCCGTCTCCCCTTCAAATACGCCTTCACCAACTTCACCATATTCCGCCTCCATCTCACCGACACGCTCAACCAATCGTTCCCGTTCCGGTTGTGCTGCAGTCTCTGCAAGCGCCTCAGACTCCAATTCGACTGGAGCGAACACAGACACACGTTCCGATTCAACCTGTTCTACCGCTTCACTTTCTGCGTCCGCTTCAACTTGCCCCAATCTCTCACCGAACACTTCGACTGCCGACTCGGCTTCCGTCTCCCCTTCAAATACGCCTTCACCAACTTCACCATATTCCGCCTCCATCTCACCGACACGCTCAACCAATCGTTCCCGTTCCGGTTGTGCTGCAGTCTCTGCAAGCGCCTCAGACTCCAATTCGACTGGAGCGAACACAGACACACGTTCCGATTCAACCTGTTCTACCGCTTCACTTTCTGCGTCCGCTTCAACTTGCCCCAATCTCTCACCGAACACTTCGACTGCCGACTCGGCTTCCGTCTCCCCTTCAAATACGCCTTCACCAACTTCACCATATTCCGCCTCCATCTCACCGACACGCTCAACCAATCGTTCCCGTTCCGGTTGTGCTGCAGTCTCTGCAAGCGCCTCAGACTCCAATTCGACTGGAGCGAACACAGACACACGTTCCGATTCAACCTGTTCTACCGCTTCACTTTCTGCGTCCGCTTCAACTTGCCCCAATCTCTCACCGAACACTTCGACTGCCGACTCGGCTTCCGTCTCCCCTTCAAATACGCCTTCACCAACTTCACCATATTCCGCCTCCATCTCACCGACACGCTCAACCAATCGTTCCCGTTCCGGTTGTGCTGCAGTCTCTGCAAGCGCCTCAGACTCCAATTCGACTGGAGCGAACACAGACACACGTTCCGATTCAACCTGTTCTACCGCTTCACTTTCTGCGTCCGCTTCAACTTGCCCCAATCTCTCACCGAACACTTCGACTGCCGACTCGGCTTCCGTCTCCCCTTCAAATACGCCTTCACCAACTTCACCATATTCCGCCTCCATCTCACCGACACGCTCAACCAATCGTTCCCGTTCCGGTTGTGCTGCAGTCTCTGCAAGCGCCTCAGACTCCAATTCGACTGGAGCGAACACAGACACACGTTCCGATTCAACCTGTTCTACCGCTTCACTTTCTGCGTCCGCTTCAACTTGCCCCAATCTCTCACCGAACACTTCGACTGCCGACTCGGCTTCCGTCTCCCTTCAAATACGCCTTCACCAACTTCACCATATTCCGCCTCCATCTCACCGACACGCTCAACCAATCGTTCCCGTTCCGGTGTGCTGCAGTCTCTGCAAGCGCCTCAGACTCCAATTCGACTGGAGCGAACACAGACACACGTTCCGATTCAACCTGTTCTACCGCTTCACTTTCTGCGTCCGCTTCAACTTGCCCCAATCTCTCACCGAACACTTCGACTGCCGACTCGGCTTCCGTCTCCCCTTCAAATACGCCTTCACCAACTTCACCATATTCGCCTCCATCTCACCGACACGCTCAACCAATCGTTCCCGTTCCGGTTGTGCTGCAGTCTCTGCAAGCGCCTCAGACTCCAATTCGACTGGAGCGAACACAGACACACGTTCCGATTCAACCTGTTCTACCGCTTCACTTTCTGCGTCCGCTTCAACTTGCCCAATCTCTCACCGAACACTTCGACTGCCGACTCGGCTTCCGTCTCCCCTTCAAATACGCCTTCACCAACTTCACCATATTCCGCCTCCATCTCACCGACACGCTCAACCAATCGTTCCCGTTCCGGTTGTGCTGCAGTCTCTGCAAGCGCCTCAGACTCCAATTCGACTGGAGCGAACACAGACACACGTTCCGATTCAACCTGTTCTACCGCTTCACTTTCTGCGTCCGCTTCAACTTGCCCCAATCTCTCACCGAACACTTCGACTGCCGACTCGGCTTCCGTCTCCCCTTCAAATACGCCTTCACCAACTTCACCATATTCCGCCTCCATCTCACCGACACGCTCAACCAATCGTTCCCGTTCCGGTTGTGCTGCAGTCTCTGCAAGCGCCTCAGACTCCAATTCGACTGGAGCGAACACAGACACACGTTCCGATTCAACCTGTTCTACCGCTTCACTTTCTGCGTCCGCTTCAACTTGCCCCAATCTCTCACCGAACACTTCGACTGCCGACTCGGCTTCCGTCTCCCCTTCAAATACGCCTTCACCAACTTCACCATATTCCGCCTCCATCTCACCGACACGCTCAACCAATCGTTCCCGTTCCGGTTGTGCTGCAGTCTCTGCAAGCGCCTCAGACTCCAATTCGACTGGAGCGAACACAGACACACGTTCCGATTCAACCTGTTCTACCGCTTCACTTTCTGCGTCCGCTTCAACTTGCCCCAATCTCTCACCGAACACTTCGACTGCCGACTCGGCTTCCGTCTCCCCTTCAAATACGCCTTCACCAACTTCACCATATTCCGCCTCCATCTCACCGACACGCTCAACCAATCGTTCCCGTTCCGGTTGTGCTGCAGTCTCTGCAAGCGCCTCAGACTCCAATTCGACTGGAGCGAACACAGACACACGTTCCGATTCAACCTGTTCTACCGCTTCACTTTCTGCGTCCGCTTCAACTTGCCCCAATCTCTCACCGAACACTTCGACTGCCGACTCGGCTTCCGTCTCCCCTTCAAATACGCCTTCACCAACTTCACCATATTCCGCCTCCATCTCACCGACACGCTCAACCAATCGTTCCCGTTCCGGTTGTGCTGCAGTCTCTGCAAGCGCCTCAGACTCCAATTCGACTGGAGCGAACACAGACACACGTTCCGATTCAACCTGTTCTACCGCTTCACTTTCTGCGTCCGCTTCAACTTGCCCCAATCTCTCACCGAACACTTCGACTGCCGACTCGGCTTCCGTCTCCCCTTCAAATACGCCTTCACCAACTTCACCATATTCCGCCTCCATCTCACCGACACGCTCAACCAATCGTTCCCGTTCCGGTTGTGCTGCAGTCTCTGCAAGCGCCTCAGACTCCAATTCGACTGGAGCGAACACAGACACACGTTCCGATTCAACCTGTTCTACCGCTTCACTTTCTGCGTCCGCTTCAACTTGCCCCAATCTCTCACCGAACACTTCGACTGCCGACTCGGCTTCCGTCTCCCCTTCAAATACGCCTTCACCAACTTCACCATATTCCGCCTCCATCTCACCGACACGCTCAACCAATCGTTCCCGTTCCGGTTGTGCTGCAGTCTCTGCAAGCGCCTCAGACTCCAATTCGACTGGAGCGAACACAGACACACGTTCCGATTCAACCTGTTCTACCGCTTCACTTTCTGCGTCCGCTTCAACTTGCCCCAATCTCTCACCGAACACTTCGACTGCCGACTCGGCTTCCGTCTCCCCTTCAAATACGCCTTCACCAACTTCACCATATTCCGCCTCCATCTCACCGACACGCTCAACCAATCGTTCCCGTTCCGGTTGTGCTGCAGTCTCTGCAAGCGCCTCAGACTCCAATTCGACTGGAGCGAACACAGACACACGTTCCGATTCAACCTGTTCTACCGCTTCACTTTCTGCGTCCGCTTCAACTTGCCCCAATCTCTCACCGAACACTTCGACTGCCGACTCGGCTTCCGTCTCCCCTTCAAATACGCCTTCACCAACTTCACCATATTCCGCCTCCATCTCACCGACACGCTCAACCAATCGTTCCCGTTCCGGTTGTGCTGCAGTCTCTGCAAGC